ACAGAGACCTATTCTCATTATTTAATACCTATCTTTGGCAATGTCTGTGATTTCCAGGACTCTAAAGAAGTGTTACAACATACTGTGAAATGCTAGCAGCCTTCTTTGAGTAATTCTACGCCACTGTAAAAAACTTGTAAGGGTGTTGGCATTTCAATATATCAGTCTCAATTTTCTTTAGGGCTTTGGTAATCTTCTGTAAGTGGCCACAAACCCTTGGAAAGGAGGAAATCCTACAGAAACCTAAGAGAATTCCAATAACTAGTAAGCTCTCTGCCTGGAATATTTTCCCCAAAACACAATTCCAAGGTCAACAAAACCCATATTCCTACTGCTAAGCAATGATGGCAAGATCTCAAGAAAAAAAGTCTGAAAAGCAACTTCCATCATTAAAATGGCATTTAAATGAACCATGCTCAGGTTTTTGTCATAAAATGTAACTTTGCCCACCAAACAGCTAACTACTCAAAGAACAGAATGAACACAAATTTAACTGCTCAGGGAAAAGATACATGTATTTGCAGAAACAGCTGCCAGGGCATAACACTGGATTTCAAAAGAGGCTTTCTACAGTGTCACTCCATTGAATCAAACCCAGCAAATAAACCTTCCGGTAGGTCATATTGCTTGTCTGATTCCACTGGAAAACACAGTTCTTGTCAGTCAAGATGATCCTTCCCCTCCTTCTTCAGTATTGATGATCATACCGTATGCTGACAGAACAGACAGTGGTACACTGTATGGAGAGGAAACCAAAGAGGTGTGGTGCTCTCCAAACTGGAAATTTCCAGATAACCACTGTTACAGAGCTTTTAAAGAACTGATACATGAAACCACAGCTCCATGGCAAGACTGGTCAAATTTGCTGTACAATTCTACAGACTGAGTATCTATATAGCTTCAATTGCTTTATTTTGACCTCATTAATACACAGTGTCTTTTCCGTAGGTGCTGAAGAACAGTGAAAAATAGAAAAAAGGTAGAAAAATCAGTACTTTGCCTTTTTTTTTTCTTTTATCTTTGGTAAAAGAATACCAATGGTAGGTTAGAGAATCTTACTTTATTTAAGAAAGGTCTTGGGTCATGCCAGATAAGGGTGATTAACAAATAATGGGAATTCTGTAAAACACTGAGTCAAGATCCACATAACCAAATTTATTATTTTTTAAGCAAGTTTCTCATAGCTCTGCTACCTAGATACCACCTTACTCACTTGACAGCTGGGTTAACTGTTATTTTACAGAATAAGTTAACTAAAAGAAATATAACAAAGTTACTGTTGGTGGATGCAATAAACAGAAAAGCTCAAACCAGTAGGCAATATTAAGAGATGCTATTAATTTAGCAAAGGATAAAAATGAACAATATGACTGTGGAACACAGCAATGAGAAATTCAGAAGTACAAAACACAAGACTGAAGTGAAGGCTGTATGTAGTAGTTACAAGCTGGGAGTTTTTCAGCCTGAAGAGAAAAAGGAGAATCCAGGGTTTACTGACCACGGTAACAAATCAGAAGTATGTGGCTGAAGAAAAATTGTCTCCATTTGAAACAAATACTTTTACCAACACATACCACAGTGGAGAAAGTTTATTTGGATGAGCTTTTATTTTTGGTCTCATAGGTTCAAGGAAGAATGCTCTAAATTGTCATTGTTCCAACCCACAGTATTCTATGATGCAGAGAAGAATAAGTGATATTCAATCTTCCACTGATCATCTTCTGAGAGATGACAAAAAATTATCTCTAACCTTGCAAAGGAAAGAATGAGAGAGCCTCCTCCAAACACAACATCAGATAATTTGCCTTAAGTCAACAAGCATGGCAGAAGGGTGGCAGGAATGAACAAGCAACTCTACATGGACTTGGAATTCAAAAAGCACAAATACAAACAGTAGAAGCAGAGACAGCCTACACCAGAGGAAAGTCTAAATATTACTTCTGTGTACAGGAACAGAGCTGTAGGAGTCAATGCTTGGCTAGACCTGAAACAACTGAGGGAGGTGCAGGACAAAAAGAAGGGCTTCTATACTAGCCAGACCTAAAACAAACCAACAAACTAACCACAGTGTTTTCCTGATGACTAGAAAAAGCTAAATGTTATAGCCATTTTCCAGGAGCATATAGGGAACTACGGACTGATCAGTCTCACCTCTATTCTCGGGAAGACTGTGGAGCTAATCCACCTGGAAGTAATTTCTAAGCGCATGCAGAACAAGAAAATGACTGGGCATTGATTTATGACATCGATTTATGACACAAGGCAAATTGTCTCTGACCAAACTGGCTGCCTTCTGTGGTAGGATGACAGGCTCTGCAGACAACCAGGGAGCAGTGGATGTTCCTTAGCTTCAGCAAGGTCTTTGACATGTTCTATTGTCATGTCCTTATACTCAGTCAGAAAAATATGGACTGAATAAATGGACTACCAGATGGCTGGAAAATGGGCTGGATTGAAGGACTTCAGATGTTGCACAAAGTGCAACTGGAAACCAAGTACTAGTGATGGTTCTCAGGGACTAATGCTGTTTAGCATCTTTGGTAAAACAGAGCATGCTCTCAGCAAAGCCACAGATGGATGGGGAGAGGGTGGGGAGGGTGCAGCAGTCCACAGTCTGGATGCCAGGCTGCCATTCAGAAGGCCTTCAAGAGGCTGGAGAGATGGGCAACCAAGAACTCATGAATTTTGAAGGCAACTGCAAAGTCCCATATTTAGAAAAGAACAGCCCCATGCAGCAATACAGGTCAGAGACTGGCTGGAGAGCAGCTTTGCAGAGAAGGACCTGCAGAGTCCTAGCTGGCAGCAAGTTGAAGATGAATCGACATGTGCCCCTGCAGGAAAGGCATCCAACTGCATACTGGGCTTGTACTAGCAAAAGTGCAGCGAGGTAGATAGAGATTCTTCCCCCCTCTGCTGTATTTGTTAGTCTACGTACAGAGTATCATACTCAATTTTGGGCTCCTCAATACAAGAAGGATGCTGTCAGGATGCAACAAGTCTAGTGGAGAGCTACAAAGATCAGGGGCTGGAGCACACCACAGGAAGAACTGTGTTTTGTTAATCCTAAAGGGAGGCAGGTAAAGGGTGGTATTGTCTTCAACTGCTTAAATGGAGATTAGAGAAAAGATGTAGCAAGAATCTTCTTAGAGGTGCACAGTCATAAAGAAGCAGCATACACAAACGAAATACGACATCCCAGTTAGATATAAGGAATGATAATACATCCCAGTATGGGGACAATCACACATGGGAACACATTGCCCAGAAAGTCTGGGATATCTTCATATTCAGTAGCAGTCACAACTCAACTGGACCAGGCCCTGAGCAACACGATCTAGTTTGACTTATTTTTAGCAGTAGGCTGAACTAGAGAATCTAAATTATTCTATGATTTCAACAGTAGGGAACTACTTTTTAGTTGAAGTCTAGATAAATCAGCTTCCAGCTTTTACTACATTTAAGATAGTAACATAATAAAGAGCAAGAAAGAACCAGAGAAAATGAAGGAAGGAGTTCATGAAAGCAGTTTTTTTGCTTGCTGGTTTGTTAATTAAGAGCATGTTTGTACAACTTACTAAATGCCTTTATTCTGGTGTCATCTCTCAACTTTATCTCTTTTTACACCTGCTTTAATAATGCTCACCTTCCTGCACATTTGACACCTACCCTTTTCCTGCTCACAATCCAAAGAACTCACAGCACTATCATAAATGAACCCAAGTAGATTGTTACAGTTAACAAACCTGTTTCAGTATAGAGAAAAAGGTCTTTCCAGAGTAAGACTTCTGAACAAAAAACCCCAAAATGACCCAAAAACCACAACAGGAATTTCCAAAACATGGAATTAATAGTTCTAGTGTCACAGCACTCTCTAGTGATCAATTAAAAGTTTAAATACCTGTGTAATCTCCCTCAATTTAAATGTGCCTTTAAAATGTAGGAAGCAGTTCACATATTTTGAAGCTGTTTATACATAGGTACATCTGTGTTTCTCGCTAGCAAGACACTCAGTTCAGATATTAAATCAACTGCAGATATTTCAACATGCTAGATTAATTCTCAGCTGGCATCAAAATAACTAGGAGAAATGGAGTAGATGGGAAATGTGAAGCTAATACACACAGAAAAATGGAAAAGCAGCCTCAAAAATATAGAACTTGGAAACCTGGAAATCTTGAAAATTAAAGACTGATGCAGAGACGTAAATGATTCTGCATGGAAACAAACCAGCCAAATATCATCAGTACTGAACCAGCCTGATTAACTCAGCTGGCTGAACTTGCCATGACTCCTGCACAGCCACCAACATGTCCCAGCACTTAGCTCCGCAGTGTTTCTTTAGGATATTTTTCTTTTGAAGCCAGTTCAGGTCCAGTGTCTCCCTGATCTAATGACTGCTCTCAGAAAAGGAACACAAAGCCTGGTCTCCTGCAGAACCCCATGGGTTTTGCTGTACCATTTGAGTCATGTACTATTTATTAGCTCATTATTAGCCATGCCAGAACTAGGCCATTCCCACGCGAAGCCACAAAGACTTGTTTCCACTAAGACTCTTCACTGCTCCCTGGAGTAACACAGTGAAGACAACCCAGGCTGCCACAACAAAGTCATGTCAGGCCTATGTTTTCAGCTTAGGCTATGAGTTAGACATGCACAGCTGCACAGTGTAACTCCCAAGGCTGAGCTGTCCCTGGAAACAATGCAGCCACATCCACACAGCCCAGCTTTTAGGTTCATCTGCCTCTGAACTGAATTTGGTTCACATCTCCACATTCATGACATGGTACATGTACAGAAAATTTCTGGGCTGCATAAACTAGAAGGTGACAGTATATGGAAAAGTCTTCATGCAATCACCAAAAAAAAAAAAAAAAAAAAAAAAAAAATCCTCATCCAGGGACTACTGCACAGTTTATCCAAAGAAAAAAAAGACAAAGCAGGAACAGTAGCCATGCACGTATCTTCAGTGTCTCATCACTGAGCCCGACATCAACAGATGAGGATTACTTACACTCTACACACATATAATTTCCTTTCTTTAAAAAGGAAGGGTTTGGATAATTAATCTTCACAGAAATAGCCCTTCAATGCCACAGGCAAAAATCAGAGCCTACTGTAAAAGGAACTGTCAAAGAATAAAATTACCTCGAACTAGAAACTCAGCTCCTAACTTTCAGATAGATGAACTAGTCACCTAGGCTCTTTATACCCAATAGAGAGAAATAAGCATCTTCAGACACAATTCAAAACAACCTGAAATAGCTCTGGAAGTGCTGTCCTTTCCAACTGATAATAGTCAATCTAGTCATCTAGGCTCCCACCAGCCTAATGTATCATTTTCAGACAGCTAAAGTATTAGGCCTGGATTCAGCTCAAATAATCCACTTTGAGAGTGTGCAGACTGGCCAGACAGAACAGACTAGATGGAGCAATGCCAAAGGAAAAGAAATGACTTTATGAAGATCACAGAGCAAGTGTGACAAAGCTAATAATAGCACCCAGTGCAAATTCCCTTATCACCAGCTCTTGCCATCTCCCATATGACAAAAAGCTTTATAATTTTGCTAGCAACGAAATTAATGATACCTGGTTTTCCACAGATTTGTCCCTACATCTCCGCTCATCACAGAAAATTTCAGCTTTAACCCTCTGTTCCTGAAGAATGCCTTCCCATCAAACACACTCTCCAAATTCTCCTACCTCTCTCTCTTCTAATACTGTCCCACACAATGTTCCTATATTTCTACCCTCATTTTTATTTCATCTACCAACAGGTCACATTCTACTTCTGTCCTAGGGAAACACCAGTTTTTATACAAGCTGAGCAACCAAGAGGAAGGTCCAGCAGAACTTTCTTTTCCTCATGGAGGAGGCAATTTTTGAAGGTGGCTGGAACAAGACTTTGTAAGAAAAACTGGGAGTTAATGGGTGTCAAGGCTCCCTGTGCACCAACAGGCTCTGCAAACTTTTATCGCCCAGTGCAGATGTGTAAACTTGAGTCAGGCTGCTATGAACAGAGTTAAGCTGTAAGGCAGAGCTGTGCGAAGGCTCATAAGGGCTCCCCCTCTTTGCTCGGAACCTGCGTTTAAGCTCAGTCCATCAGTCTTAGGCCTTTCTTGAGCTACACTGCAGCTATGCCCAAGATCAGCCTTGTTGTTCCTGACCCAGACTTGACTTGCAAGGTTTGACCTCATCCCAATGGACCCATCTGTACTTACTGACCGTGGCTCACCCTGGTTTCTGTCACAGACCCTGCCCTGCTCACTTTATTCCAGCACAGTGGGTCTACGCTCGTGCCTGGGAGGCCACTGCCCAGCCAGGCCTGCTGTGACACTTGGCTCTCCAACCACCACGGGGCAGCTGGCCTGTGCTGCTTCCAGACAATGGTTGAGAAAGTATAAGATTTTCAGGCCCAGGTCTTCTGTATTATTAATATATTTGAAATGCACAGCATTCAAAGTTACTGATGATAGGGGAAGAGATGCAGGTGGGTAGACAGATGCAGGAAGGTCAGTCATACAGACCTTCAGGAATAAGGCTGAGATTTCTTTCCTCAGCTTAGACAGTTATTTTAACCCCAAAGAGAGGTTTTATTTGAGGTAGCATGAGGATGTGTGGCTAAAACAATCTGACCAATGATCAATATTGTCTAATACTAGACACATAATTCACATGTGCCTCAGAACAAGTTGTCCTTAGAACTGTAGTCCCCCAGTAATTACAATACACAGACATAACCAATGCATCAGTATTTCAGTAAGCCCTCTTAATCCATGAAAACTTTGACCTAAACAACTAAGTCAGCAATGTGCCAGAAATGTTTGAAAAAACTGATTTTATCTACTCAGATGTTACAAAGAACTATTCCTAAGCAAATTCTGTTTCATGCATGCCATATGCAAATGCTAAAGAATATCTAATTTCTATAGAAGTTAGAAAATACAGGTTTATAATTTTTTTATTTTTATACATACATATACAAATGTACACACACTTACGTAGTTTGCCCAGAGCCTGAAATGATTGTCCCCATATATATATACAGAAGCCTGTCCATATATACAGACACAAACACTTCAAATGTCCAACAGAATATTAGCATTGGAATTAAACTGCTTTAGTCTTTAAGCTTCCTATTCGTAAGAATATTCCATTCATAAAATACTATTAACAGAATCATTGAAAGAATGCTCACAGGATTATATTTTTTTTTAATGACAATTTCATCCTTTCACCAGAATTTAAACAGGTTATTGTGGTTCTTGTCTAATGGATGATTAATTAGGAAAAGCCTGCTCTCTTACCTTACGGTGTTTTGGGCTGATGAATCCTCAGTTCCTTTATATCCAGCTCGTTTGATACTAGTACCAGGAGAATTATTTGCACTCATACATTTTTCTTCTTCCATTACAAGATCACGGAATGACTTTGGCAAAGCAGAATGTAATGAAGATGACCTAAAAAGAAACCCCAAACCAACTCCTTTTATACTTGCAGTTTCCAAGACTCCATATTGTTCCATGATAGAAAGAAGGCCCCTTCAGTTACTAAAAATAAAAATACATTATTACCTAGCTTTTGTAACTCATCATTATGTTGCTAGGCCTCATTTATCAAAATTGGTCATTTTGGGTCAAATAGGTAAGCATCAGAAAATACATACTTCTGAGAACAGAACAAGCCAGTAGTATGGAAATTTCATTAGAAGGAAAACCAACAACTTAAAATACCCAAGCTCATCCCTCCATCTATTCCACACCTAACCCTAACCTAACACTCTCAGAAAGCAATTTTATTTTCACAGAAACCTTGTTTTAGACAAGCTGTATTCTTATAAATCACACAATGCTTTAGTACTTTCATTTTAATACTGTTAGTTTATCACCACGGAAGTCAAGTACAGCTGATGATCTATCCGTAAGATATTGAATGAGTTACTCATACCTGCTGGAGGCGATATAAATCACTTACTCCACACTCAAATTCCTAAAACCAATAGGCTTTGGTTTTTTTAACTTGCTGAAAGTATAGTACACAGCACTACTGAATTAGAGCCTGCATATTATCTTTCAAAAATAAACAAGTATGAAAATATAGCAATTTAGCATCACAGCTATGCTGAACATTTTCTGAGCCAAAAGCCTTTTTATTTACAGAATTCAAGGTAGTTACCATTAGTCTTCCCCTTACCCGTCAAGGCTTTGGAATTAATTCTTCATACATTTGCTCACATCTAACTATACTAACCGCAGCAGTCCCACTCACTGTCAAATACATATTGGAAGAATAGCTCTGTTCATTACCTACTCAAAGAAATACAAGATCAATTATAAACACTACTGAAGTAAAACTAGCTTTCTATACAATACTAATTGCTGTACAGCCAACATAAGCAGCAAAGCATCTTAAGCCAAAGACTGTCGAACTCCATCTATGTGGTATACAATTTAAGGCAACAAACAAGGCAACTGAAACATCGCAACACTGTGTCTGAAATCTCACAACAAAAGTAAGTGAAAGTTATAGATGATGTCTGAACCCCCTGCTAAACCACCCAGGCTTATGCCTGGGAGGGTTCTGTTGTTGGGTTTTTCCTCTTTTTTCATTTAATATTGCACAAGCAACGTAGAAGGCACAGAAAGCAGAATGAGAACCTCCAGATGCAGGGGCTCAGAGTAATTTTGCACATCCTCTATTCCTGCCACCAGGTGGCACACAAGAGGCTGGGCAAGTGTTTGACCAGAACTTCCCCATACCTATTATACCAAGCAGGTAAAAAGTTCCCTTGCGATCTGCTGACACAGAAGCTTCTTTTGGACTAACAGTTTAAGTAGCCTACCTATTTTCATGGAATTTCTGTACTGCAATCAGATCCATCTGCAACACAGCACCAAAACTCCCCAAAAAACCCAAAACACCACCCCCCCTCTCCCCCTCAGAAAAACAACCCTGCATCATTCTCACCTTATGAACCTATACAGAACAATTACTGGTGTCTTAAAATGGTTCAGCTTAAACTGGTAAAAATTTTCCTAACAGCAACGATTCTGTATTTCATCTTGTATTGCCTGGTACACTGTAATTTCTATCAAATTTGTAACATTAGAAAAACTAATTTATACATCTTTTTTAAAGAAGTGAATGCAACTAAGTTCCTTTAAGCTGTAGCTGCAAAACATGAAAGCAGGAAGTTCCAAAACAGCTGTTGATGTTTCAGTGTAAACTGGATACTGACAAACTGACAACCTAGACATTAAAATACACAATTGCCAATTCTCAAGAGAGACTTCAAATATTTCTTTTATGCCTCCACTCTTGAAAAGCCATAGGCTTTCCTGAGGTTAAAAAAACCACCAAAACAAATAAATACCAGCCCCCTCCCTTTAGATTTGTAAAACTAATAAAGTTAACACCCAGCTTCTTGCACAACATACTCTCAAAGTATTGATAGTGTGACTCCTCCCCACTTCTAATTTCCACTTCTCTTCAAAGGAGGAAACGTAGGTTCAGTCCCCTAAAAACTGTGAAACTGGGGGACTTTTTGGTGGAAAAGGTAGGACATTGTGAATAATAGACTCTGTCTTTTAGTCAACCAAAAAGAGTCGGAAGGTCCCACACCCTTCTGGCAAGTGTGCTCACTGCACATCCAAGATGAGTATCTTATTTCCTTGGGACACAAGTTCTATGGCTTTGACTATACTGCATGTGTGGAAAGCTCAATATATTGCCAAATGCTTAATAGTCTGTTGTGAATTTACAGAATATAAAACTTTGTAAATACAATATAAGAACAGATGAATAGCACTGTTTTACCTTACACACAAAAACACAACTAGAGGGGCAATCAAATAGCTGATGGCTGGCCTAGAGCAGCTTAAAATCTATTCAACAAATGCACTCTTCCAGCAGCTAGGCGTAATTTTAAATATTCATATACCTCCCACTAGTTCTTTGCTTGAACTCTTGAGCTACCAGCATTTTCCAGATCAGCAGCCAGTGGAACGCTGCAGAGGAACGTACAGAATCATGCATGGTGACCACATGAGCATTAGATGGATTCCATCCTCCTGAAGCATACCCTGGCCTTTCCACTTAAGATGGTTTGTGTAACACAGTAGGGCCCAGCTACTTTCAAAAACTGTTTCATCAGAACCTTAAGAGAACAATGTATTTTCTGGACACAGTTATCTAAGCATATTAAAAAAAATCAGTCCACACTTTTTAAATGCAAGGAACAGTTCACAGGCAGTTGGTAGTTTAAACTTAGATAACAATAGGTAAAGAATTTTCTCTCAGAAAGTAGATGAATAGCATGAATACCATTCAGATGGCAGATTGAGGAAGTTATGCCCCAAACTTTTGTATGTCTTTTTCATCAGTTTCTCTTAATAGCTTACTTTCTGTACTAAGAAGTAAATCATTTAACTAGAGGCATCTAGCTCATGTGCTTCAGTCAACCAGTACAAATACTTCTAAAGAATCATTTATCTCACACTGAAAAGTAGGACTTCAGGAACCAACAAAAGTCTCTTCTAAAGAAACCCAGATAACTAGGTAAGCTATGCAATGTCCTCCAAAGCCTACTTCAGGCTTTATTGTATCTGAAAGTTGTGTATGAAGGGAAAAAGGGAAAGACTCAGCTGGAGAATAACATCATCCCACAGAAGAGTTCTCGTAGCCCCTTCTGTTGATATCCAAAGTCTGAGAGAGACAAGCATATAGAACTGCAGCTTGAAAAGGGCTAGTAAAACAAAAAAGGAAATTCATTGATAATATTTAAGATGACTGGTCAAAAATACCCATGAAATGCCTACAACAGTGACAACTAACATCAGCCCGAGCCATGGAATGGCAGGGGGAGGGAAGATCCTTTGAAGACTCTACTGTGACCACAGAAAGGCCCCTGACTTTGCTGGGTGACAGAGAAAAAGGATCGACTCCTGCAGGCCCTGGTCCACTTCATCAGCAGCACCCCTCTGAGTCACCCATCAGGTACTGCAAAAAAGTGTGGCTTTCCTGGTCCTGCCACTCTGAGTCACTGATGGGTAGAACGGTGGTGGGTTTGTAACAACACATATATTAATGTGTGAATAAGCCCATGTGATTTGTGTATGAAAGACTGCAGATGTAGTGAGCGGCCCAAAACTGAACAAAGCATCTGAGGCCTCACCAGTGCCAAGTACAGGGGGATGATCACATCCCTAGCCCTACTGGCCACAGCAGTTCTGATACTAAGCCAAATAACTAACTTGCTGCTTGACCTGCGGTATCACCTGTGTAAAGCACATAACATGTTCCTTGGAGCATTTGACAAGATCAGTGTTAAGGATTCTGAAATTCATCCACTCACTAGAATTCTGAAGACAAATCTTGCAAACCTTGTTTCTGCTATTGTGAAGGTGCCAATTACAGTTCAGAGGTCAGGTAGAGTCCAAATCCGTCAGTGTAAAGCAACTTCCTCTTTAAGACAAAATTACGGGCTCTGCCCAGTGTTGTACCAGAATAATTTTTGGGGGCTGTGGGAGTAAATGAGACCCTAAATTTCAGTATTAGGTGTACATGGTTGAAAACAAATTAAGTCAACACGTACGTAAGTCCTACTTGTATAAATCAAAATGAAAGAATTCAACCTTTTCTCAGATTCACTTGAAATACTGTGTGCTAGGTATTTTTAAAATCAGGTCATCTTAGGCAGTTCATTTTAGTACTTTACTGTAATAACATAGCTCTATAGCTTGTAAGTGGAACACTACAAATACATGGCATATAACTTTTTTTAAAAAAGTATTAATCAAGCCCTGATACACAGATGCCTACTGAGAAGATTTCTCATCCCTACTTTACTGACCCTTGGAGGAATCCCAGCCAGTCGCTGCCAGAATCACTACTTGAAGGACACGCCATGCTACATTACCTCAAATTCACCAAACAACTCCCCATTTCAGATCAGATTTGACAAACCCTGTAAAATAGTAAAGCCTTTTTAATATATGGCTGAACGTACTGTATGCTGGCCACTAGAGAAGCAAAGCTTGTTCTGGTATCATAACTGGAAATAGAATACCATTTTAGAATCAATTATGCTGCACAATTTTGGGATGATTACATGATGCTGTCACAGGTTTTCAAATATGTTTACATTTTAAACACCATTTCTATTTTACCATTGTCATGTTCTGGGATATTAGTATGGTCTTAAACTAAGATAATAGCATACCAATAGACCTATGCAGCATCCCAAATAAATCTAAAGGTTTTTTAAACTCAAGATACTGATCATAAGAGCATCCACCCAAAAAAGGTGGATGAGGTAACAGATACATGAAACAGAGCAAAGCAGCAAGAGGTTCTAGATATTACCCCAAACCTTTTGACAAAAAACGCCTTTCAGGAAGCAACTACTGCCAGGAAGCAGCCTACCTTTTCCTGAGTTAGCCAGTGATGAGGTTTTTTTTTTCTCTCCATAGACTCATTAAGTATCTAACAGGCTACATGTCCGTTTTGAACTTACAAGAGCATAAAGGCAAAGATTCCAGCAGATGCTTACTACTCTTATTTCTGAAAAGAGCAACCAATTAATGTGAAGGGTCAAAGGAAAGAGAGCCAAAAGACACACGAGGGAGAGAGATAGCTCTAATTGTGGAAAATAAGCCTATTCTTTGAAAGACAGATTCCTATTTTACTTCAAAATCTCTCCAATACAAAAGGAAAACTACTACAATAGCATTTAACTCAGCTAAACTGTGTAACAAAGAAAAAAAAAAAAAAGACAGAGAGAGAGAAAAAGGATTTTATTTTAAATTAAGTGATTGTGGTAGGTATGCAGCAAGCTTTGTTCCCACAAGACCAGGTAAGCTCTAGAGAGGGGAGACTCATAATTCTTCTAGGGTACCATTACAGAAGCAACCTGCAAGAAAAGTCTAGTCCTTCTTGAACAGGGAACGAGGGAGAACTGCCCAACATTTACCTCAAAGTAAGAGCATGTGCTATTTATTAAACTTCCATAGCTTGCAACTTTTACAGTTATGTCTTTATGCTTTCACCTAATACCAACTGCAAATGTTAAGAACAAAAAACATGAATAGGGCTAGCACCTCATTACAGTCATTGTTGTAAACCTAGTTCATTGAACAGATGATAAACCATTTTTCCATCTGACCGTGATGCTAACCTGAACATTTACATTGTGTGTAATCAGAATTAAAAGTTACTTTAAATCCATTATGCATCCCTCTGCTATAAGAAGTCTCAGCAGCATCAATCACTCCCCCCAGCTCCTAGATACGTAACTTATGTGTAATTTCGTCACTTTTGCTCTACTCCAAAGTCATTCTAGCTCTTTTCCCCTGGAAGGGCTAACACTTCTCTATGTTTTTGTCAAAGAAAAAAAATACCATTCATAATGGTTTTCAATAATCATTTCCTGACTAAGTTTCAGAGCTTGTGCTCAACCTTCTTTTTCTGTGCTTCACTTTGACACCATCTGCAAATACCACATCACACACAGACAAGAACCAGATGGGACAGTCTTCTGACTCACTGTAGCAAAATTTCAAAGAACTGTTAAACTGCAACCACTGCATTTCCCTGCCCCCTTTGAATTTCTAGATTACTACCAAATGTAGATACAAATAGCTCAATGCCAGACTTTTTAATGAACAGAACCTAGGCCATTTTTATTTAAGAAACTGCTTCTAAGAGACTATTCAAAGTAAAAACACTCCAAAGAAGTGATATTTGACTTATAACATACCATGCATTCCCTAGTTTTGCAACTTTTGTAGGTGGGGGTGGTGCCGTTACTAGTGTAGTAGGCTCTGTGCTGCTAGTTACTGATCCATTATCTTTTGCTGCCAGAGCGATCATTTTCCTTTGCTTCTGAGAAAGCTTGATTCCATGAGACGCCATTCTGCTGTGAATTGATATTGAAAGAGAGATGTAAGATCAGTGTCTCTTGAGATGACTTGCTTTTAATCTTGCAAATTAAACTGAGAAATGCTTCCTTTATAGACCAAAATACATTGTCTTGAGTGTCAAAAGGGGAGTATAGGAGAGGGGAGGGATTGGATGGTTGGGGACAAAAGGAAGATCAATGTATGTCAAGAATGACAGAAAGAAAAGCATCATAAAACTATTTTTCACACAGATGTCTATGGATGAAAACAAGCAGAACAGGAATCAAGTCTCCAAAAGAGATGGACTACCACCAGATGAAGACTATTTCCTAATTTTGTGATTTTTTTTTTGAGACTGGCAGCTTAACTCCCTTAAACCAAAAATATTCATACATCAAAAAAAAAAAATGTATACAACATAAAGCCATTTTTTTCCCCTATTTGTAATAATATTTTTTTCCAAGTTATTTGGATTCTTCAGTCTTGGCTGTTTTGTTCACAGCTTCTGAATCTACCTAGCCAGAAACCCTTTACAAGACTGCAGTACTACTGTCCTAGCTCTCCTCTACAAGAATGTAGAGAAGACACTTCAAATGTCATGAAAGTCATCTCCAGTTCTCTTCCAGATGTTGCCAGTTAAGAAGCACTAGGTTTAATCCACTGCCTCCTGAAAACATACATTTATCTCCCTGTGTCTTTGGGATGCTTCTCTGAGCAAAAAACGAAGAACTGTCAACAGTGTGAAGTATCAACACATGGATGCTGGGGAGGTCAGAGAACGTGAGACAACAAACAAACTTCAGGATTGATTACACTACTGGTCCACAAGTAATTTCCAAAGTGCTAGGGACAAGAATTAATTAGCAACAGGAAAGCTCAGCAAAGCTTACCAGCTCGCTCTTTAACATTTCAACAGCTAAGACATGCCTTCACAGTAGTCGCTCAAACAAGATCACAGTAAAATAAAGGGATAAATTTTGTATGCTCACAGAAAAGCACCATAATGAACTGAAGTAAACAAAGCTGTTCAAAAACAAATATGACAGCTTTTCTCCTGCTTTTTTTAAACTAAACTGCCTGAACCACTAACTAAATTCATAATAGCCTGGTCTATCACACTTTTCTTTTATAGATTTTGGTTTTTTACCAACCCTGAATTTGCCTTTGGCATGGTTCCACATTTCTGCATACTTTCTTCAATTTCCATGATAGTTCTTAGATCCATAGCAGGAGGGCTGGCAGGGCTAAATGAAAAATAAAAAAGTTACTTTATAAGGCACTCACTTTTACTTACATTCCACAGGTCCAGCCTTCACTGAAATCCTCTAAATCATACATAAGATTGGTAACCGGATGTATAATTCATTTCTGTTTCCTCAATTATGGCAAACCTCAAATAGAATGTTTCTGACAAAACTTTTATAAATATAAACATATTTAAGAGCACACCATAAAAATACTTTCAAGACTCATTATGCTATGAAACAAAAAGATGTCAACTATGCTTACTTAAAAAAAGTGGATACCTAAATCCAGGATACTTACTTAATAGTCAGCTGCTCATACTAAGTCTTACAGAGGTGTTGCTTACAACTTTTGTGAAGGCTGAATAAGATCCTTCTTTGAAGAACAGGATTAAATTATTTCACGTGGCAAACAGAACGCTCTTTGCAAAGTTAGAGCTCTGTACAAACAGCAGTAACATTCTCAGACTTTAGCATCAGTTTCTTTTTCATAAATGATCTTATCTTAAAATTCCACAGAAATGAACATGAATTAAAACTAGACATTTCCAAGCTTTACCTAAAACTATATATTAAAACCTGTGTACTTAAAGGCATTTGTAAACTAAGCTGTGTTATAATTAGATTTAAGGACAAGCTTTGAAATAAAATATAGGCAGCACTGCCTCCGTCTCTCCCTACATAAACACAACTGCCATAGACTAACCAGTGAATTAACCACAGGGAGGTCACACCAAACCCTGTCGTCACTGCTCCTCCACAGCAGTTTAACCAAATACGCTATGGTAATAATCCTTTAAACATTCTACACAACAGTGCTGCCTGCTTTTTCCTGACATCATACTACCAATACCAGAAAAAGTGAAGAAAGAGTACAAGAGAAACCCATAAAGGCACAGTGACATTACAACAAAGTCCTATGATGTTATTTGCTCCCCTTCCATGCATGTTTTCTACCATCTGAAAAGAACTCTTAAGATAGCAGATGAAGATGGAGCAACCAAAGAGTTGGCTGTGGGATGTATTACCCTCTCTGCATAGGCTAGGCTTGCACAAATATAAAGTGAGACAAAACAGACTCCTAACAGACCCTGAATCCCAAACAATGTACTTCAGAGCTGCAACTTTTGATTTCTTCAGCTGTATGACCTGTTTTAACAAAGTCTATCAGCCACAAAACAGCAGAGCCTAATAGAACTGTAGGAAGTTATCCCTATATGATTCCCTAAAGCCTTAAACTCTTCTCTATTCAACCTTTATTGACAAATGTCAGAGACAAGACACCAGGCAAGACAGAACTTTAGTCTGTCACAGTACTGCTCATTTTAATATGCAGATACTGCTACAAAAAAAAAAAATAAAATTATTACTGTATCAGTTAAACCTGTGGCATTGATTCTCGTAAGTCTAAAGGCATGCTTTAAAAATGTCAAAGTACAACGGTGTTTCTAATGGCTTGGCCTGATTCTAAAAAAACCCTGCCAAATATTTTACAAAAAGTGTTAATTAAGAGGACTTAAAAATAAAACAAAACAAAAAAACAAAAAACCATTAGATGTCCAGACTGGTAGCACTTAAAATAAGTTAGCATATATGTAGCAGTTGCTTTTCTCAAAGAATAATTAAAAAAATTTACCACTCTAATGAAACTACCAAAACCTTTAATTCATGTGTAAAGTAATGTATGCTCCTTTTGAAGAGCAGATAGCTTTTTAGCCTGAACATTATTAACATCATTACCCAGTGCAGAACACTGACTGTAAGTTAGGTAGGCACTACAACTATTACTCCACCTGAAACTACTTGCTACCCAATTGGGAGAGCTTCCAGAGTTGGTTTTGGCACTGGGAATGGACTGTGGAACAGACTGTGCCAACGCTGATGATCCCTTGTATGACTTCATATCCTTATTAGGTTGAGAGGGTTTCATACCATGATTGCATGCTTTGTCCTTCATCTAAAAAAAGACAGAAAAAAGCTGGACAAACATTCTCACATGTGTAAGTGAAAAGACTTTAAAGGCTACCTCAAAAATAGCAACAATGTAGTGAATCCCTGATGAGTCTGCTATATTTGTACCTTTTTTTTTTTTTTGCTTCACACTTCACCCTGAACCACTTCAGTCTAAATACACATTTTGATAGTGGAAAATTCATGCGGAGATGTTCACTTCTGAAGCTTTAACATTTAACATAGATGCAATTCTCAAACTGATTTCTCTTTGCCACTTATGTCTGTTAACCTCAATGTTACTTCTGTCCAACTACAGTAGATGAAAAACTGTATGATTTTCCTGGAGTTTTTGGACTTGGTTTTGTTTTGGTTTTTTTTTTTTTGCTTCTGAACATGAGATTTGCTTTGCATGTTAAATGAAATATACAGAACCTTTACATAATTGCTCTTTTAATTTGAAATTTTCTGAACACTACAGCATATAAAAGTTACTATAGTACCATGTGAATAAATTACCCCTAAAAGATTTAATAAGGAATACTCAGTTTTATGTGCTTTATCAGGCAAACAATAACTACTTAAAGTTTTTTACATTGTTTTAAGCACAACAGCTTCGCAGAAGCACTCCAAGATACAAACTCTGCTTTTGATGGACCACATAAACACAAACAAATAAATTGCTAAGAGCAACGAAATCCAACCTCAGCCCTCTCTGGATGAAATCCTTTTGTGAAATCTGGGGACTGCAAGTCTCTGGGGCTACCCACTCCCACGTAACTACCTTCAGAGTCAGATGTTAAGAGTTCTGGAAGTGATTCTACAGAGCTAGTTTTATCCAGTTTTACTGAGCCTAAGAAATAAGAAGAGAAAGTAGAACTATTAAATCATGAAAGCCAGACTAAACAATGCTTAAAAAAAAAAATTAAAAACATGGAAAGTTATTCACTCCATATGACGATTACAAAATAACTAGCAGTTTACCAGGTCTACTATACTACGCTGCAGTAAGTGTAAGCAAATATAAGACTATCAAATATTTTTTCAGAATAAGATTACTCCCAGTTTTCTTTCCCCGTCTCACAATATACAGTTTTAGGAAGTAACACTGACACTTTTCTATTGAAAATGAAGTTTTCTACCATCTTTTCAATAAACAGTGACTAATAATTTTTTTTTTATTCCAGGAAAAAAAGAAAACAAAACAACCCATGTTAGCAGAAGTGTTCCACATATTAAAACAACATGGGAAAGTGTCCATTAAGCTTAGTTAATAAAAGACATGTTCCTACAGAATCTGAACTTTGCGCACAATCATAATATGACAAACATCCTTTCGAAAAAAACTTGGGAATTCAGTATTAAATTCAAATATAATGTTCCCTAGAAAAGAAATAATCATTACAAGATTCCCTTACTTAAGTATAGAAATTGTACTGCATTGCATATTAAACTTTATGTTCTGGTTTTATACCTGAAAGGAACCTCTTTCCCACTGACCTGTGGAGGCTGGACTCTGAATAATATCTGATAAATTATATCCTCCAGAGCTATTGGACCGTTTTCGTGGCTTCTTTTTTGCCTTATTTTTTGCTTTTTTGAAAAGGGCTTCCCTATTAAAAAAAAGAGAAAAATAATAAAAGAAAAGTAAAGAAAGAAAAAGAAAAAAAACCAAGATAGATTAAAGCCGAAGAAATTAAGCCTCAGAACTATCACTTGTCAACATCAAGTTTTTCAGTAAGCAGCAGCGGTGATACTTCAAGCAGTAATACCTGGTCCCACCAGCCACTGCTAGCTGTTTCTGCTCTGCTTATGCACTGACACAATTATTCAGTAAATGTTCTGGGGGTGGGGAATATTTCAAGAAGACAAGAAAAAATTCTTTCCAATCCAGATCTAGTCTCTCGTCTAGTCCACTACACAAAGACTTCTGCTGAGACAGTAGAATATACAGCAGCTGCACAGGCTGGCACTGCCACCTAGGTCAGATTGCAGCAACTGACACAAAGCAAACTACATCTATGTCACTTTTTTCTCTCTTGATTTCTCCTAAATTAGTGAAGTAAAATAAAACTCCACAGTTGGTCTCATTTTTCCCCCAACACAAATATTGCCACCAAGATAATACTATTACTACTATAAAGTAGGTATATGGTCATGTTACAAAAATGTCACATGTTCCTATATATGATATTAGAAAGAATGGAATCAAATAAAAGGCATTTTTCATTTTGTCAAAAAACTTCTAGAAATTTAGTTACATGAATCACAGCAAAAGTAACTCTATCTCAAAAAGCTTTTTTGAGAAACTTTTTGTGAAATAACTATATACACACATATATTCATTCCTGCATCAATACTGTAACCTTACAATGCTTAGTGTTTGGTTTTTTTAATATTTCAATTCTGAACAAAAAGGGAGTCAGGAATCACCCAAAGGGGGATAAATAACATACACAGCTCTTCTAGTTAAAAATGGTGATCAAAAATAGGTACTTACTGAAAATTTTGTTCTGTATTCATTTCTTCCCTTAAAAAGACAAAGTTCTCTCCATCTTCAGGTTCAAAAGAACTTATGTCAGGTCCATCTGGATATGGAGTAATAACTCTCCTGACCATGGCTGGAATCTGTAGTTGTAAAAGCCGATACATTAAATTTCTCTTAAGTTGTATGTTAGCAAACATAAGATTTCTTACAAAAGGACCAACCCGACTGTCATTTAAACACTTTTACATATCAAGTAATTATTTAACCAGCTTAAAAATTATAGTTACATCTTTAAGCAAAACAGAACTATTTTAAGTGACAGAGTCAGACTGCATGTTTCAGCTGCCTGTAACCCCTGACAAAAATAAAAAAAGGATGCAAGGTTTTGCAAAGATTCACCTTTTACCACTGCACAGATAAAGAACACTGGATTATAATGTACCTTGGTTTCCCTTCATTAAAGTTCAACTTCTGTATTATTTTTCTTACTGCTATTAAGATCTATATGATCACCCTGAACTTTACACCGGAGAAGGCCAATTTGCTTTCTTCTCCTACATAACAGGTGCTCTTTTCCATAGGTTTTGCTTATGTTGTTTCATGCAACAATTGTTAATTATAGAACATTAATACATTTAATGTGCAAAATTAATTAATTGGAAGGACAATACTGTTGCAGCAGTGCCAAGTGCATAATGAAATATGAGCTCCATGAGTGATAATAGCAGCAGCTAACCTTAGCTTTTGAGTCAGACGTTCCACATTCAGCCTGTCATCTACAGATCCCAAACATTTGTATTTTACTCCTCTGCTCTCATTTTAAACCTAACCATCTTACAGTCAGGTTGAACAACTTACAGTTTTCCTGTAATAATCTGAAAGATCCTTTACAACTTCATCACTTAAGACATCCAGAGTCCTAAAAAAAAGAATAATAATAATAAAAGATATATAATCTCACCAGCTTTTTAAAAAAAACCAAAAACCAAAACCAAAAAAACACAAACAAACAAAACCACAAACAAACAAAACCACAAATTAGCATTTTAGATGAATCTCACCCATAGACATTCCTACCTATTCATGGTGGTCACAGAGTCAGAAGGAAGAAAATGAACACAAATATAAACTAATCAATGCTCTTGTTGTAAGGGAGGATTAAGTACACAACCTTTCCAGACAGCCTACCTTTACTTATAGCCACAGCCAATATAGACCTGTACAGTCAAGTTACCACGAACTGGTCATTACCCATTTCTGCATACTTTCAAGTCTTCCTGACATATATCTAATACTCAAAATCTATGTAAAATCTTCTATAAAACTCAGTCACAAAATCCCTTGATATTTATGCCAAACAATAACACCACAGCAACAAGCTTTACTCAACAGAACTGTCTTGCCCACATGAACAGCTCTCCTTGCACAAAACTGTCACAACTAAGCTCTATATGTCTCAGGTGTCTCAGATTAAAACTCTTGCTACCCAATAATGCAGTAATGACATTTTCAGATTTTCCACTAAAGTCATAGAATTATAGAATGGTTTGGGTTGGAAAGGACCTTAAGATCATCTACTTCCAACCCCCCTGCCATGGGCAGGGACACCTCACACTAAACCATGTTGCCCAAGGCTCTGTCCAACCTGGCCTTGAACACTGCCAGGGATGGAGCATTCACAACTTCCTTGGGCAATCTGTTCCAGTGCCTCACCAACCTCACAGTAAAGAGTTTCTTCCTTACATCTAACCTAAACTTCCCCTGTTTAAGTTTGAACCTGTCACCCCTTGTCCTATCACTACAGTGGTAGGCCCCCTTCAGATAGTGGAAGGCATATAGTCCTAATTGTAGTATGAATGTCTGCATGTCCTTTCCAGGCTTAGGATGAAAGAAATCTGAATAATAAGACATTACTAGATTTTTACTCTTCTCTCAAAAAATCAAAGGTTAAAATGTTTATACTTTATAAAGTTGTGAAGAGGAAAATTGCTAATAGGAATTAATTTCTCTACCTGTGACCCAAGCAGAGCAGTTGTGTGACACAGCAATGAAATGCTGGCATTCTGAACTGGTTCAGATCTCTAAGAACATCTATAGTTAAAAAGAAGCATGACAAAAAGGCTAGGAGACAGAGATGGGGTGTGTCTTTTTTCTTTGCTTGGGTTTTTGTTTTTTGTGGTGTTTTTCATTTTATTTTAGGGTGGGGGGTTTTTAAGTAGTTTCTAAAAAATAAGTTAAATCAGTGCTGATGAGGCTTGCTCTGAAAAGATGGTATGTAATCTGGAAGCAACTTGAAGCCCTGTCCAAAAGCATCAAGAAGGCCAGAGCACACCATCAATTGATTAAAATCCTAGCTGAATCATTTTGCAAAGCAAGGGTAAATAATTTGTTCAGCCTTCACCATAGACTGCTAAAGCAAAGAAACTACCCAAAGGCAGGCCCATCCTCTTTGTAAAGTACACCAGCTATAATAAACATACTTAAAATAGATTCAATTTGCATAGTAATATGCCATTTTATGCATCTCCAAAAACAATTTTCAAGAAACCTGAATGAGATCAACACCCAATGTCAAAGCCCACTGAATTCAAGAAAGGTTTATCCCCCTTAATTCAGGCTCTTCATGCCAGATTGTAACACAGGGTTTTGTACTACAAAACTGGTACAGTATGTACAGATATTTAACTAGTTTCTCTCTCCTTGTTTGGCAAAAATGAGTCTCCCTTTAAACCAGCAGCATTCAGTTGTATTTAAACATTTAACTGTTCCTATGAATTCTTCTAACCATTCTGCATGTTTGAATTCAGCAGCTAGAACGTGAACACATTTGCATTCCTCCTTACCTCGCTTCCAGCAAAGCTGCCATATTAAGTACTATGAACTGCAAGCAGGACAGTTTTAGCTGTTCAGCGTTGTACGTTGCTGAGAACTCCAAAAGCTCAGCAGCATTCTTTAAAGTAACTGCAAAGAAGAAACACAACAGACTAAATTGGATAACGTGCTGCAGTGCCATGAAGCATTTTTAAAGCCCTATTGCACAGCATGATCTAGTTATTGAAGCATGTATTTCTCCATTCCCAGAAAAAATGCTAAAGCTCTAACAGCTATAAACTACAGCAAGCTCCATGTAACTTTGTAGCAGCTTGAATTCAATGGCTGTTTCACAGAAATAGAAAGCCACTACCTACAAATGTATCAGTTTCAATATATTAAAACTCAGCAGTCCAAAACAAAGGGGAAAAAGAAAGTTAAAAAACAAGTTTCATGTACAGCATAAACAGTTCTTTAAGCTCCAAATGTTCCTTTAGCAGGGAGAAAAAAAAAAAAAAGAAAAAAAAGCAGGTAAAGGGGTAGAGGGGCAGGGAGAGAGAGAGAAAAAAATACGTAACTAAGAAATGTCAAGCAAAAATTGTATGCTGACTTCTTGTATCAAGCTAGGCAGCTATGCTTAGTGTTTTCTAAAAGGGACAGATCTTCATAGCCATACAGAAACAGCTCTGTGTCAAACAAACAACAGGAGAATTCGCAGAATTAAATACAACAGAAATAGAAACACAAATTATTTTATCATGTTTTAAAGACAAGAAGTTTGAATTCAATGAAATAAAGGTTTTATAAAAAATTTGGTTTATTTGTTGTAGTGGTTTGGGGGTCTGCTTTTCGCCCTTTTATTTTTTTTCTTTTATTTAAGAGCATAAGATGAAGACAACAATGCACAAGGAAAAATCCGTTAACCTAAAACATCACCCAGACTAAAGAAGCAACTGTTAATAGCTATGCAATGAATAGCAAAAGGTAATTAGAGCAAGGGAATAATAAACAAATAATGCTGTACTGAAGAACTCACGTTTTTCTGCAATGGCTACTTCACAGATTTCTTTGAGTCTGGACACAAGAAGCTGGTCTGCCACCACAAGAATATTACATATGAATTCCACATTTTGAGAATCTAGAAAACAAAGCATCACATAAATGCTGCAGCCAAGTCAAAAGCAACTATAACACATACATTTTACCAAAGGACAAATGTAATGGGTTTTCCAATTTTCATGGAATTTTCACAGCACAAGGAATAGCTTAGAAAAGCACAGAGTCATTTTTCTGAAGTAAGAGGAGGGAAAAGGAAACCCGCTGTTTAACAAACTAAAGAAGAGGTACAAAAGGGCCTGGGGTACAGGCATCACCTCAAAATTTAAAACAAGAGTCACAAAAAAAGGATTTTCTACATAAAACTGCAAACATACTGAGCTTCTATTTTTAAAACATAAAAATTGCAGGAGCTACAGTTGAGCTGAAAATGTATTAATGGCACCTTTTATCGCAAGAGCTTCATCTGTATACAGGTAATCTACAATTATTTGTAGTATGTCAGAATGGATTGGCATTTCCAGAGCTGAACAACAGGAAGCCTAAAAAGCAAAAGGATAAAAAAAGAGTAAAAGAAGCTGACTGTGTGGAAAAAAATACGAAATTAAGAAAGCGATTATATTCAGCAAGACTCAGACTGAGTGTCATTTTCAAAGTTAAACAATTATTTAAGCATTTGCACAAAGTCAGTCCAAGTTCTTTAATTAAGAATTGATAGTAGCAAAGCAATTAAAATCTGCTCAAACCTGAGTAAGTATCCATGAAACACTTCAGTGTTTCATCAGCTTCTTCTCTAACAATCCTCCTTGATTATATTACTTTACCCACAATTGTCTAAAAGTAGATCCGCAGGAATCCCCTGTGCAAGTACTGAACTGCTTTCCTTTCAAGGTAAAAGATCTAGTGAAACCACAAGTTCTCATGTAATAATAAAATGAAAGTGGTCATTACTGTTAATGCCTCAGAAAACAATGTCCTCTGCAAACTCTCCCTTTGGAGGGTTTAACCATTAAGGCAAAGCTTTCGTATGAGCAAACATTAGCCATTAAACCATGTAATTCTCACCATTCAAGTTTATGCAACATCACTGCTTAACAGCTTTGGTTTGTTTCAGGTGGCACTGAAACAAAACTTTATACCACAAAATTTCTTTTGTTTTAGAACATGCTACTGGTACTGACATATTTCCCATCTGAAGTTTAAAAACTCTTACAGACATTTAGACTTTTTTTATATAACATCTAGAAGACTTGATTTACAAAATATTTACTTGTGAATTCAGTATGATTTAGATTTACTTACAAAATAATAGAGGACTTGCAAACTAAATGTAACTGATATACAAATCTGTGATTCACGTGGACATTCAACACTTAAAAAAAATACAGTAATACATCAATCATCTCACAGTGTTTCAGGTATATTTCCTCAGGGATGGCTGAGGAAAAGGCAGCACAATAACTCAGAGAACAGCTGAAGTTCTGTTACGCAGCAGAATAGGACTGCCAGTACTTTGCGAGGCTCTTAGATTTACATATAGCCAGAAACCTACGAAAGTTGAGAAAACTCTTGCACACTGTTTCAGCTTTCAGCCTCCAAAAAATACTTCTTCATTTACACCTTTCTTCTCTTTACAGAAGCATTATTAATTGTATTCAGATACTTAAACAGAAGCATTTAGTGAAAATATGATGTCCAGGAACAACCAGGGCATTGACACGTAGCTAGCAAATAGCAACCAAAAGAAATAAAAGATCTACACCTTTGAAACAGTAGCTGGTGATTAAGTGGAACAGTCTTTGATATCCTTTATGTCACTGACAGTAAAAGTTAACTAAAGATTCAATGCAATAACTCTTGACTCTGCTATATCTTTCCATCAGTACATATGAAAAGCTACTCCATACTGCATACTATTTAAGTTGTAAGAGCTTTTACAGAAAGAAAATGAAAATTCATCCAATGTAGTATCCCGTAAGTCCAGCAGCTTTTCTAAATTCACAAACTAGCTCAAAATAAACCTCTAAAACAAAAGTAATACTTTAATTTCCTTTGATATATATACTATTTATTACTCTCATTTAATACACAATCTCAGTAGTACAAATATAGAGTAACCAAAAGTGAGGGGGGTTTGTTCAGGTTTTTTTTCTTGCAAACAGTATCCATGAATCCAGACTTTCCATTTCCCCAATATTTAGGATGCATTAAACTAGGAAAAAAAGCTGTCACTTATTTGATGCAACAAAACGTATGACCACGACTGTTTACTGGCAAGCTTACCTCAATCCATGAGCTGCTTAACATGCTGTGAAAATAATCTGAAAAGAAAGGCATTTCAGTTCAAGATGCAATAAAATTTCAGTTAAAAAAATACAGTATGACTTATATTTTATGTACATACATAGATATATAAAAATACACACACATACCAAGTCTTGCACAAAGTACACACTTATGACACGGGAATTCCTTTCCATCTAAAGATTTCAGTGTCACGTCGCAGAGGTACGAACTAGAAGATATTTAATAGAATCAGAACTGTGACTATTCAGAAGAGCTACAAGTTGTAAACTCTACAAATAAATGCTTACTTTAGCAAGTTAGGATTTATTCTTTAAAATAAAACACACCTGAAGCTTCACAATATCATATAAAATGAACTTAAAAGTACAGGCATGATAGTTTAAAAAGAGAAATTTTTTGTCCAAAGTTAAGGTCTCATCATTCCATCTGAACTATTTCTTTCAGAACACAGTCAATTACTTTTTTAAAACTGCTATGATCAAATAATTTTACTCAATCTTAAATGGTCTATGTTATGTTAGTTAGTTCTTTTACATTTGTAGCTACTATAAGCTTTGACAATGCATTTTAATAGTGAAGTAATCTAAACTCTGTGACAAAGCTACTTCTATGCAATGTAGCTTTTACTACGTAATCAAACTATTCAAGCTTTTGGATATAAATTACCTAATCACACCAATAGAATTAAAACCCAAAAATAAGTTATAAAAGTGCAAAGAATTTTTCTATTTAAACATATTCTAGAGATCATCTTTACTAGATAAAATATTATACATTTGCTTATTTCCAATCCATGTAATCTTATTGTCACAGTAAGCAATCTGCAAAAGTCAAACTGCCTTTGACTGGATTACCAACATTTCTCTTAGTATTAGTATTCTATGACTCAGTTAATCCACCAAACACATTCATGTTCAGCAAAAAGAAGAAAAAAATACCATACATAATTTATCCCAGATTCCTAGTTCATAGATCAGTCCATAAGCATCTACAGAGAGTTTCCAAACATGAGTTACTGTGCAAAAGACAAGTGTATACTAAAAATTCAAATACAGCTAATGATCTGATATAGCCTATACTTAACAGATAAAGAGATGACTTAACAGGAAGATAGTTTGATGTAAAAAGTTTACCATTTCTTCTGATTGAACTTCAGTTTGTTCCCATTCTTCTTGTTGACAACATTAATTTTTCCATTTTCTAACCTGACACCATCCAACCTGCAAATCGTTAACATTAGTAATAGCCAAAACAACTAAAAACCAGTTCAAACCATTAAGAAGAACAGTGTCACAAGGGAACAGTGCTTTGGTGGGCTCATGTTATGAATATAAAAAAGGATCAAAATCATTCACCACAGAAAACTAGAAAGGGCCAGTTGCTACTTACAAGTCTCCACTGCAGATATAAAATGTAACAGCTACCTTATTTATAAATGAAAGCTACAGTGCTATAGTTAAGGCCAAAGTCCAACACCACAGAGTCAAAAATCTAGGAGTTAATATATACTGCTACCAATCAGTTATCTGAGCATGTTTCAGCACAGGCTTCTTGAACACCCTTATTCATCAAGGAGGCTTTTGAGTGGGATGGTAATGACACAGCGTAAACCCTGCTCAGCAATAATCAAATCAACATTATTGTCATCCTGAACACAGCACTATACCAGTTACTAGGAAGAAAATTAACTCTGTCCGAGACAAAACCAGGACAGAGACACAAGGCAGATGTTCTAAATACAAATGTCCAAGACATTCTAGGACACAATAAAGGCCAACAGCACATCTCTGTCACATAGAAGCCCATTGGAAAGTGCTGCTTCAAGTACATAATCATGCTACAAAAGTCTGCTTCTGACATTATTCTTACCAAAGAGCATAGGAACAAACGTGTTTTAAAAAGATGACACAGTGTGTGCTGTAAACTTTCATACTTATACATTAAAAAAACAAACAAACAAAAAAAAAACCAAAAAAACAAAAAAACAAGCCAACAAAAAAACCAACCCAACCAGCCTTCTACTTTAAAAGCAACTGAAGTTAGGTCAGCTTCCATAAAGGCACTCCCTGAAGAGCTCGCCAGATACAAATACATTTCTTTTCACCTACCTTTCACTTAAATTGCTGAGTCCAAACTTCTCCGCAGAACTTTGCAACATTTTTATGAGGTTAGCTTCTTCACCAACAGCTTTGCATTTTTTGGATTTGGTCTTCTGTTTTTCATTTATAACTTTCACTTGATTATTTCTATAAATCTCAAATGCCGACTTTCCATTAACATTTTCATTAAAACTCATTTTGCTCAGGTTAGAAATTAAAGTATCTTGGTATTCTTCTGATTTTCCTTTATGCAGGATTTTTGGTTTATAACCATGAGTCAGAAGATCACAAGTATCAGTGTATATGAACTGCAGAAGGTACACAAACAGATCTGGATGAACTTTCTCTATTACATAAAGATCACATCCAACAGCATCTTCATCTTTACGGTAGACGTCTGGAGTGTCTAGCTGGTTGTCACTGGAAGCAAACAGCTTCCTGAAGAAGTCAGAGCGTTCAGCCAAGATGTATTTGTGTACGGGGTAAGTTCTTGTGCCAATCTGAAAAGTCACATCATGGATGCTGTCCATTTCATCTGTTTCATCTAACAGCTTGCCAAAATCCTCTCCAAAATTTGATAATGACACACTTGGAATTTCATAGAGACTAGAATAAAATGAAAACCATCAAAAAAACCACTCTTTACAAGCTCCATAAAATTTTACATAGTATGTTTAATAAAAAGGGTGAGGTCGTCTCCTTTGGTTTGGGGTTTTTCTTACATTACTGGACTACTGAACATTCCTTGTCCTGTTCATTACAAAAAGAACTAATACGGTATTCAAGCAATTAAACCACATATGTAAGATCTGTCTAGCTTCCAAATATTGAATATAGTATTTTGTCTTTATAACTTATCCAGGAAATACGTGCCATTAGAACTATCATACCTTCATCTCATTTTTCCAATAAGAAAACACAGAAATGTTTGCAGTATTTCACATTGCAATCCAAAGCAGTAAGACAAAAAACACATTAGTATTTACTTTTTTATTATATTGGAAATATATCTATTAAATATATTATAAGAGTACAAGGAACATGACTCAGTATTCTACTTAGTCATTTTATTTTAAACATTTTATCCAAAGATTCACCTTTCACTTCTATTTAAAAGTTAATTACTGATAATTACTGAAGGGATTAATTTCTACAGTATTTAGAGCTCAGAGTTAAGAAATACATTGCAAATGCTTGCTAGAAAAACATCAACACCATCTATATTAATTATGCAACTATATAAATGGAGATTTTTGGGTAACTTCAACATATTTTCAGAAACAAGTCCTATTCTCTAGCAGTATGGATAACCACATTTACTGTGGCTCTGTACGACTAAAAAAAATTGGCTTTGAAAAGCAGAATGATTTAATTGCAATCCCATACAAGAAAAAAAAAAAAAAAAAGAGAGAAAAATTTAAGTATACCTTGTTTTAGGATCTGACTGTAAAACAGCAAAATTGCAACCATTAGGATCAGCGGCAATACTAACAGCTCGGTGGACAAAAGTAAGCTTCTGAAGTCGAATTCTTTCATACACACTGTTTGTATCATGTTCACAGGACACATCACATGAAGAATTCTGAAGGCTCGATACAAGTTCTGCTAAAAAAGAGAAAAAATAGAATAAAAAAAATTGAAAATACTCACAGAAAGGTCCAGCTAGCTAAAATGCAATCAATATAACAAGTCAATTGATGGAGTCACTGAATAAAGCTAAAATTGTGCTGAAGATTGCAGTTTGCTAAACTGAAATGCAGGAAGGCATTTTAAGAAAAAACAAACAAACAAACACACAAAAAACCCACAAAAAAAATTCCACAAAACAACCCCAAAAAACATTACATTACATATAGTAGAGTCTTCACCCAAAATTACTTGTGGAACTGTTTTGCCACTTATTCAAATGAGGGGAAACACTCAACGCAACCTCATGTGAAATGAAACAAGCGGTGAATCAGTGTGCAGCATTGCAAGATTGTTTTCTTTTCCTGTCATATCAATTACAGCAGATATAACACAATTGATCAGTTACAGCAGATATAATGCAATTGCCTTCAGACTGCATATTGCATCTGTTTAAATTATACCCAAACTAACAAAATACTATTGAAAAAATGTGATACTCTCCGAATACTGGTTTGTTTTTCAATACATGGAAAACTAAATACATGCATACCATTTGTCACACTCATTAAAGTCTTTCAAAAGACAGCAGCTCTCATTCATTACAAATCAGTGATGAACATCAACTGACATTCAACTAGTCAATAGGTTAAGATTCTGAAGTTTCCTTGAAAATACTATAACTACAGAAAGAAGAACAATAAGCATAAAGAGAGTGCCTACAGACACATACAAGCACCAGACAAACAGAGCAAAAAGGAAATGCATTTAGTGCTTCTGTAATGAGGGAACTACTGTTATGTGTAGAATAAAAGAAAGTATCAAAAGAGTAAAAGTAGTACCTCTGGATTGAGCAACAGAGGAGATATTTTTGCTGTGAAAGAATGCAAACATTGACTGATATAACTATAGATGGAATCTTGATATAAAAGGAAGTGGAACTGCAAGATAAAGCTATAAAGTTCAAATACATCCTAGGTTGGAAGTAAATCCATTTCTATCAATAAAGTTTGAAGACGCTACATGAACAGAGTTTCAGTTAAAATCTTGTGCTACAGTAGACAGTTCTTCCTTGCAGAAAACAATCCATCAGGATCTACTGTTGGCAATATGAGCCAAGCGAGTAAGGCAGAAATTGATCTGGACCCTGTATTACGCCCAGATATGGGTCTGGGACACATGATAAGTTTCATAGACTTAACAGTGAAAGCAAGTACACGCTCCTTCATTTGTTCATTGGCAGTTTTTTAGGACTGGTCACGTAAAATGATAATTAGACTGGACCCTTGTGTTACTATTACTCTTTAGAAGTACTTTTCTTCCTGGAAATCTCCACCTGAAAGTTAACTGAAAGCTCCAAAGTAAGTAAATCTTAACTAGTCAGAAAAGAGAACAGTAGCGGTCAATGATATCAACCATCAGCCACAGAGGAAAGACCACTACCACATAATACTGTTAAAGACTGTAAAGATTTGATTAAACTTTTATATTGATTTGAAGTACTCAAAAACTATTAAGAAATCATAACTAACCTTTTTTTTCTGAGATTTTTTTCCCTTCTTCTAGCCACTTCCCCGTAAAGGCTTCACCATCCTGTGTGACAAACATTATTTCGTTCCCATTTAAAGCGACATCAGACATGAAGACTTGCCGGCCATACACCCAACGACACTGCTTCATGGAGTTGTTAGATGACTTCCAGCAAAACACCTGTATTATTTTTTTATTCAGAGAAAGGAAAATCTTCATATTATATAAAAGCAATTCCATATTAGACCCTACTTTTTTTAAAACACAAGAACATGCTATCTCAAAGTTGCATATAAAAGGAAAGAAATATTCACTAAAAAGTATATCCCAAGTGTTGTGAGCATCTATTACAAAGAACCCAGAAGTAAAATAAGGAAAAATCTAGTATGATACTAAAATCCACTTGCCCATGAAGGGCATTTGAAAAGCTTCTGTGAATATTCAAACATCTTCATAGCAGTCATCTATAGGATAGTTTTTACTGACATTTCAACAAGGACAGCAAAAGGTGTCATCAAGTCAAGAAACAAGTTTCATCTAGTTCTTAATTTACAGATTTATCCAACTGGTTTGCTTATAAACTAGGCAAAAATCAAAGCTAGCACTCCAAAAGTTTAAGCCATTTCCTGTTAACCGCTTGACAAAAATCTCAAGTTTCTCTGTACCAGACAAGGTTTTGGAATGGAGATCACGATCAAACACAATCTTCAAAACATTCAACAGAAATGTGAAGAACTGCATGCACAGCAGGACCCCAACAAGGTATATTGTAGATGCCTAAAAGGCAAGTGTGAAGAAGCAATCCCACACAAGGTAAAGGCCAGATGTGGTATTAGTGATGTTGAAATTGTGCTTTCATCTTGTCCCACTGATGAACCTGCACAGATCTATTAATGCCTACAGAAGGAGGGGACAGAAGAATTTGAGTAACCTATGTACTTGCCCCTCTCTTGAGCCCCACAGAATCACTGAATGGTTGAGGTTGGAAGGGCTCTCTGGAGATTACCCAGTCCAACCCCCCTGCTCAAGCAGGGCCATTCAAAGCCAGCTGACCAGGAACATGTCCAGACAGCTTTGGAATCTCTCCAAGGACAGAGACTCCACAACCTCCACGGGCAACCTGTGCCAGCGCTTGATCATCCTCACAGTGAAAATATGCGTTCTGATATTCAGACAGCTTCCTTTGTTTCAGTTTGTGCCCACTGCCTCTGGTCTTGTCACTGGGCACCACTGAAAAGAGCCGGGATCCATCTTCTTTACATCTTCCCCTCAAATATGTATACACATTTATAAGATCCCCCTCAAGCCTTCTCTTTTCTCAGCTAAACAGCATTCTCTTAAAAGAGAGTATATTCAAGCCAAACCAGGAAGCACTAAACCAGTAACAGAAGTATTAAGATTCCATCCCTCTTCTTACTCAATAATGTATAATGCCTAAGAGCACTAAAGATCCCAGCATTTGCCAGTATATGAAATGTAGATTGACACCGTTTCCCTGATGCAGGAAGACACAGTAGCTTTTTTCACTGCTAAAGAAGTGTCCCAAAGATGTTTAAGGGGCACTACCAATACTATAGATGCTAGAAGCTAAACCTCACATGAACAATTACTGAACTGGAAGTTTATAATCTCTGAGAAAACTAATGATGCAACAAACATCCCAAAACATAATGCAGTCAAATGCAAATATATTAAAAAAAAAAAAGAAAAAAAAAAAAAAAGTAAAAATACCCACACTGCCAGTGCTCCCTATTTTGATATACAAGCTCAGTTTTTAACGTTCAGGTAGTATTTCAGTAACAAAACCTTGCTGTAACACCACTAGATGGCACTGAAGGCTTAGATCTCCCAGCGAAAGCAACAAATCTGCCACAGTTAATCCATTTTTAAAACTAAACAGTTTCTACTTTTAACTATAAATACTAAACCATTCACTAGGTTTAGCTGCAACTTGTCAATAAAAAGGGACAACAAAAGCTGCAACTTTTCAACAAAAGGGATATTTCATCTACAGAGCAGCTGCGCTTCAGCAAAGCCTCTAACACTTCAAGTTCAGAGACTATTTTGGAGGGTGTGAAGGTGGCCGGGGAGGTAGGTTGAGAGGATAGACAGGGGAGGGAAAAAAAAAAGTATCACTAGCAGCTCTACATAAATAAAATGGGTATCTCCTATGCATGACACTGTCCTGTCTTGTGTTTAAAGTTTCATTAATCAGTATGTAGCTTGCAATACGATTATGATTTCTAAAGACACAACTTACCCTTCCAGCTTCATCCAGTGATAGAATGCAAATCTTCTGACCTCCATTTTCTTCAAGATGCTGGGTATCTACCTTATATTCTAAATATCCCCCACTGACAAGAACTTTTTTAAGGTTCAGCTGTCTGAAAGAACACAGAAGGTTAAATTAGTATTTCTTCACTGTGTACTTATGTTGTACTTATGACAGTTACCTCTTCATTTACAGCAGCAGGGGAAAAAAAAAAAAAAAGCAATGGTTGAGGTAGCGACATTGAAAAATTACTGAAGTTGAGTTTCTCTCTACTGGTTATTACTAACATAACTGCCAATATAATACTATGAGGAGATTGTAATTTTTGCTTTGCTTTTAAGTAAGTTACATCATATCCACAAGTTATTCACAAAGTTCCATAAATGAAAACCAGGATAT